ATAAATATTAAATTTATTATTTGATTTTAAATTTTTTTTGAACTTTGAAAAAATAAAAAAAAAATAAAAATTTTTTTCATTTAAATGAATGATACTTGATACAGAAATTGGAGAAAAAAATAAAAAAATGACAATTAAAACAACAAAACCAATTCCTGATTTTCCTACATTTGGTTTACTTCCAAAAGAAGTAAGTTAAAAAAAAAAATTAAAAACAAAAATAAAATAAAAAAGTTTGGGCGCGTTAATTTATTTCTTCTCCTTTACATCATCCTAAAACTAAAGGAAACTGAAGCTGCCTCTTTCATTAAAAAACATCCTGAATATGATGGCCGTGACACTATTATTGCAATATTGGATACTGGTGTTGATCCTGGTGCCGCCGGTCTTCAGGTATACAAAAATAATAAATAATTATTATTTATTGTTGAAAGCAATGCTGAAAGTTCCTTTTCTATATTTAGGTTACTACTGAAGGAAAACCAAAAATCATTGATTTGATTGATTGTACTGGAGCTGGTAAATACACATATATTTATTTACAAATATTATAACAATATTCTTAATTATTCCTAATATTTTTATTTTTTAATCAGGCGATGTAATCACAAAAACCATCGTTAAATCTGTAATTAAAGATGGAGGAAGTGAAGTTTTGTACACCATTCAGGGTTTATCGGGCCGTACTTTAATCATTGATCCTGATTGGAATAATCCATCTGATGAATTTCATATTGGAATGAAAAGAGCTATTGAAATTTTTCCAAAACCTTTGGTTTCAAGATTACAAAAAGTATTAACATAATATAAAATACATTATACATTGATAATTTATTATTATTATTAATATTAATTACGTAAAATATGCATGTTTATTGATTTTTTAATTAGGAAAGAAAACAAAGGATTGAAGTTGATCATCAAAAATATATAGCGGAAATTCAACAAAACCTTGCTTTATGGGAAGAAGAACACCCACCATCTTCCGGTCCATCTGAAGCCGATGTTTTAATTAAATCTGATCTTGAAGCTAGATTGGACGTTCTAAAAGATTTATTCAGGAACTATGAAGATCCTGGTATGATTTTTGATGTCGTTACCTTTTTTGATGGAAATGATTGGCGTGTTGTTATAGATATCGATGAATCTGGCGATTTAAGAGGTATTTATTTTACTTTATTTGTTAATTGATATATGGATTTTTGTTAATGAATAATAAAATTTTTCACGAAATTTAAGGTGGTCCATTATTAACTGATTATAGGAAAGAAAGACAATATCATACATTTAGTCAAGAAGATTTACTTAATTTTTCGGTCAACATTTATGATGAAGGAAATCTTGTTAGGTGATTTTAATAATATTAATAATATTCATTATAACCATTATTATTATTAATAATTAATTTATTGGAAAAAAATAAACAGCATTGTAATGGTTTCGAGCACTCACGGCACTCATGTTGCTGCCATTGCTGCGGCAAATTTCCCTGATGAGCCAACATTAAATGGGGTATTTAATTTAATTAAAAAATAAAATTTAATGTAATGATTATTGTAAATCTGTTTTTGTTCAAATTTTGTTTTCTCACACTATGACAAAATTTTAGGTTGCGCCTGGAGCACAGGTAAGATTTTATATTTTTCTTTCTTTTATTTAATTATAAATATATACATAACTAATGTAAATGCAATTTATTGTTTAGATCGTTTCACTTAAAATTGGTGATGTTCGGTTGGGAAGTATGGAGACAGGAGCTAGTTTAGCAAGAGCAGCCATGGCTTTAGTCAATACTAAAGCCGATGTTGCTAATATGAGTTACGGCGAGGTTACCGCTGTACCAAATTACGGCCATTTTTCTAATTTGATTCGCGATGAAGTTATTGGAAAATATGGTTGTATTTTTGCTTGTAGTGCTGGTAATAATGGTCCGGCATTAACTACTAACGGTTCTCCCGGTGGTACTACTAGCGGTGCGTATATATTATATTAATCATTATATTAATACACACATATATATTTATGGCGTTAATTAATAAATACTATTATTATTTAAATAGACATAATTAGTGTTGGTGCATACGTTAGTCATGCTATGGTTAAGGCTGAATATGCTCTACTTGATTCTGTTCCTGAACGAGCCTATACATGGAGTTCTCGAGGTCCAGCTACTGATGGTGATGTAGGTGTAACTATCTATGCTCCTGGAGGGTATTTATTTATTTTATTTTTATGTCAAAACAATTTAATTAAATACAAAAAATAAGATGGTTTTAATTTTAATTTCTAATATTTCCTTAAATTATAGTGCAATCGCATCAACTCCACCTTATTGTTTACAAAAATCGCAATTAATGAATGGAACCTCTATGTAGTTAACCTTAGTATTCTTTCATTTTTCCACATCAGGAATAATTAAATAAAAAAATTATTATTAATTATAGGTCTTCGCCTAATGCAACTGGCTGTATTGCATTATTATTATCTGGTCTTAAGGCACAAAATAAAAAGTACACTCCATATAGAATAAAAAATGCTATTGTTAATAGTGCAAAATCTGTTGATGAAACTTTTGATGTTGGCATGATTCAAGTTGAAAAAGCATGGGATTATCTTCAGAAATTTTATGATCGTTCAGATCAAGATCAAACTTTTCAGGTGATTTATCTATATACCTAATTAATTATTATTAATATTTCCTTTTTTTAAGAAAAAATCGAATCAACTCTTTTTTTCGTTGTTCTTTTTTTCGCGTTAATTTCTTAAATTGAAGATTTTGATTCCTGATAGACCAAGATATAAACGTGGTATTTATTTGAGAGAAGCTAACGAAACATCAAGTGTACAAGTAATTTCAGTTGAGGTTAAACCAAAATTTATTAAAGAAATTGAACCAACATCTGGTGAAAATAACACAAAAAAATTTGATTTTGAAAGTCGTTTGGCTTTAATAATGGAGTTTGAGTTTACTATAATACATTGTTGGATTTCATTGGATGATCATGGTAATCTGAAGATTGCATTCAAAATTAATTTGATGGGCGGGTAGATAGATTTAATATAAATTGCATTTCAAATTAAATGTGACCTCTTAGAGTTAATAAATTTTCTGCATGACTGAAAGGTCATAGAAATTGGCAAGCAAGTTTTGCTAAAAATGTGATTTTTTATTTTTTTTTTATAATTCAAAGAGATTTCATCCCAAAATGTGCTTTGACTTGATTACAAAAAGTTGTATCATTATTCTTTTAGTGCCATAAATGACTTTTATAATGAAAAAAGTTGTATCATACTTTTTGTGCCACAGAATGAATTCAAATAATAATTCTATATAAAAAAATTAAAGGGCTGTATGTAATATTTAAGACTTTACTATTCATTCATAGATCAGCAATTCCACATCTCTTTTCACTTTATCTGAATTTATTTATATGGTTCATTATCATTATTGTTATCCATTAGTATAATTAATGAAGTACTGTTTGTTATGCTGTTTGTTTATTAGATTTTACAAAATCTATTCTTCACATGAGAATATGACCAGAATTTTTTTTTATTATGGATATTAATATCTGCTTTTATAAATTGTGTGCTATTTATAGCTTTCTAATGAAATCCTCCTCTTCCTCATATTGATGTAAAACTATAGCTATTCAAAAACAGCATGACATTTCACTTCAAACTAATTTACCTTTATAAACTTGATGAATGGTTGCAAGTTTTCGTGTGGGTATGTGGATTGTTTGTTTTATCACATAGGAAAAAATGTAGGTAGGAGATCATCAGTCATAATACCAAAAAAGAGGTAAGTGATTCCAAATGCGGTAATTTGGTTGATAATCATCCAAAAGAAGGAATAAATAACAAAAAAGGGTTTGTGGCGATGTCGATTACTTAAAATTTCGGAAAAAACATCTGAAAATCGTTTGTGTGATTGATGATGATGAATAATCTTCTCCGCTAAGTGTTAGTAGAAGTAGAGTAGAAGTAGAAGTAGTAATTGAAACCATTGCCATTATATTATTATTATATTATTTAGTTATTATGGAAGCGCCGATAAAAAAGTCTACAGCAATAATATCATTAGAACGTGAAAATTCTGATAAATTACTTAAAGAGAATAAAGTACTTAAACAAAAAGTCGATGCACTAGAAAAAGAAAATAAGTTATTAAAAAAATCCATATATGATTTATCAGTGAAGTATACAACGGTTGGTTATCATCAAAAAATAGGGCATTTTACAATATTTGATCAGGATGAACCAGTACAAGATGGTGGGAAAGAAATCAAGGAAATAAATTTGGAAAATTCAACTGGTGGGTAAAAATATAAATATCTAATTATAATGTATGATATATGTATGTGTGTTATGTATGTATGTATGTATGTATGTAAAGGATCTTTAAAAGAAAAAAGGTATTATTATTATTATTTTTTAAAATAATCAAATAATAATAGTAATAATAATGATGATGATGATGATGATGATGATAATAACTGCTAATAACAATGTAAAGATTTTTTTCCCAAGTTGATCTAACCAAAGTAATCCAAAATATATAATTTTTAGTAATAGTGATAGTAATCTACATGAGAATGTATACACACATACATTTATATTTATATTATATACATAACATTTATATATATTATTTATTACAATATAGGGAATGGTACACGTGATAAACATCGAGAAGGAAGAACTTTTCATCCAAAATCTGAATTTAAGGTTGATTGATTTAGTGGATGAAAAAAATTTTTTATTAAATTACACAATTGTCTAATATTCTAATCATTTAACTCTTTTCTAATATAATCAACTAATCTAAGGGACATGTCGGAGCAGTTTATGCAATACATTTTTCGCCTTGTGGCAAAATGCTTGCATCGGGGTCATTTGATAAAACAGTTCGAATATGGGATACTGTATCTTTACAAAAAGAGGTAATTATTTTCTTGTGTGTTCAGTAATGATAATGATGATAATTACTGAGATTATTAATAAAAATAATAATATAGCAAGCTTGTTTGAAAGGACATACATTAAATGTATCGGATGTTTGTTGGTCAAATGATTCTAATTCAGTGTTATCAGGAGCATATGATCAGACATGTAAATTATGGGATATTGAGACAAACAGATACATACATTCATTTGAAAGTGAAGGTTTTGTTCAGTGTGTAATGTTTAATCCACAAGGTAAATATATGTATCGATTTATCTAATGATTATTAACTTGATTAACGTCATATAAATATAATATCAATTATTATTATTATTAGATAATAATGTATTTGTTAGTGGTACATCACGCAAAATTTTGACAGTTATTGATGTCAGAAAATCAGAAAATTCCATCAAATTGAAAAATGAAGGGATGATAAATTCTTTGTATGTTTGTCAAGATGGTCAAAATATTATTACTGGTGATTCCATGGGATTCTTGAAAACCTGGGATATTAGAAATGGTTTGTTTCTATTATAATCAATCGATTGTATTTAAGAAGAATATTAATTAATTGGCATTAATTGATTGATATAAAAGGATTGGCATTTCAATCAATTCTCAATGAACAAACCAAAAAACCTATTTCTCATATAGCAATTCCACGAAAAAGTTTTAGTATGTTTTTTCACCTAGAAAGAGAGAGAACAAAATAAAATGAATCCAATAAAAATATTTTTCCATCCTCTTTTTATTTTCTAATTATATATATACATGTGTGTATATATATAGATGATGATGAACCCAGATATATGGCAGTTAACAGTTACGATAATGGTAAGAGAAAAGTGTGTGTTTGTATATATATATATATATATATATGGAAATTTAAATATATTTATCAAAGAAGCTTTTACATTTATTGGAATAACAACAGTAATAAGGATGTATGATCGTGGAATTGAGCCACCAAAAACTCAACCTCGGTTAATCCATCTATTAAAAGGATATAAAAATAAAGGATGGCCAATCAAAAGCTCATTTTTTATTGGAAAAGATCGTAAGTAAATTTTGTGTTGTTATTGTTATTATTGGAATTAATTAATTGACAATTTCTTAATTAATGAATGAATTTATTGTCTATAGATCAATATACTATACCACAATATACTAATCTCAAAGATATATATGATGACAGTGTTGAATTGGTGGATGATGTTGCAGATAGTACTACGTCAGTATTAATTGATTTCTAATTGGCAGAATAATTGGTTTCCAATTAATTTACTTTTCTCACTTTCAAACATAGATATGAAAAAGATAAGCCTTTAGAAGCAAGTTTGTTATTAGCTACAGGAAGTGCAGATGCGTATGCATATTTATTCAATGTTGGTGGTCCGGAGGTAAAATTAAAATATTTAAAATAATAATCTATGTTCACACATGCATATATATATTTACATCCCAATATAATATATATGAATAGGGCACGGGAGAGTTAATTCAAAGATTGGAAGGTCATACTGATTTTGTGTATGCAGTAGATTTTCATCCCATTGAACCAATATTAGCAAGTTGTTCGGCTGACTGTACTATAAAACTTTGGGCACCAAATAGCAAAGGAAAAAAGAAGAATTAATTGTTATTGTTATTATATTATTATATCTTTATTGTTATTATTATTATTATTATTATTATTATTAAATATAAAGTAGATTTTTTACATTTTTTAATTGCTAGAGAAATAAATTTAAATTATTTAAATCATTAAAAAAATCCAATTCAGAAAACAATTGAAAATCTACAAATTGATATTTTAACAATCCTAGTTTTTGATATTTTTTTAATAAATCCTCCAATCTACCATTAGTAAATGCATATAATTTCAATTTGAAAGGTCTATATCCTTTCCAATTCCTCATTAAATTTTCAAGTGAACTCCGAGAAATAGAAACACCAAAAATACCATAATCGAAAATTATAGTATTTAAACTTTTTGGTGATGATTGACTTAAAACCGATAATATGCCACTACCATCTAATTTATGATGAATACAGCCAAATCTAATGATTCTCAATTTAACACAATCATTAAATAATTTCAATAATTCTTTATCCATACTGCTTTCATAAAATATTTGTAAACATTCCAAATTTGGACAATTACAGCCAATAGAATTAATAAGTTCTTTCAAATGTTTTGCGTCTTTTGGCGAACCATCGATCGCTAAATATTTAAGATCCTTTCCATTAATTTTAATAAAAGTTGACAGTTTCAATAAAAATGATCGTCTGCGCGTTCTTAAGTAAACGGCTTCAAGATTTGGATATAAATTGCATCCCAAGTATTTAAAAGTTGAATCTGAAGGATCAGATAATTTCAATCTTTTTAAATTTTTAAGTTCTGATATTAAAGAATTAAGGCTAGTCTCTCCATGACATTCATAATGCATTATTGATTGTGAATGCTCCAAGATTGCTTCTTTAAGATCGTTTGATGAAACCATGTCATCATATTGTGTGTAAATAGTGAGTTTTTTAATTTTTTTCTGTGCTCTGATTAGTTGAACTAGACTATTATTAGGATTTAAATTACAATTATAATAGATTGTCAAGATATTAATATTTTTACAAATTTTTGTCAATTTATTAAAAAATTCAGGGTCGTTATTAGAGACACATTCTAATTCATAAAGATTTCGAAAGCAAGCGTCAAATCTATGACTTTCAATCTTCCATGCAAAATCGTTAGAAATAGAACCTCTAAATGTTCTAGCAGCCGTCGAATGTTCTAAAATAAATTTTAATAATCTTTCCATCAAGCAATCAATTTCATTATCGTCCTGACTGACTACTATTACTTTTCTTAGCTTAGAATCAATTGACCAACAATCCAATACGGTAGCAAATTTTGCATAATTATACAACGGTGCTTTTTTCGGTAATTTTTTATCTATTAATTTAATGCCCCTTTCTACTAAGAAGTCTTTATCTTCTACCGTTAAACAATTAATTAATGTTTTGATGCTATTCACAGAATAGAAAGGATTTCTCCACAAAGTCATAATGTTGATATTATGCCATTTTTTATTAACTAGAATGCAAGAAGACAATGTTTCATAATCGTATTTAATGTAATGAAATATTTCAATAAAAATTTCAAGTGGAAAATTTCTAAGCATTTTTTTTTTCTTGCACCAACAAAAATAAGCGCGTTCGCATTAATATTAATTAAATCATGATCACCAACCAATGACGTTATGATCAAACTTGATAAGTTTACGTAGACTTTTTTCATTTACGAACTGTACTGTATTAAAAAAACATTCACGCGCCGGCCGATCGTTATACAATTTTTCGTGGTATAAACGTATCACATGACTCGCACTCGACACCCCCTGTCAATTTCGAAATGATGGATTTAAATCAAAGCCGTTGTAACAGAACTTGAATTTGTTGATGATATTGGTAAAGGCAGCCTTGGCAAATTTTTCTTGCAAAATTCACGGTACATCATAACGATATTAATTGATCCAACTGATAAGAAGAGTGTAAAGCCAATAATAAATGAAGTGGTGTTGTTAAAAAGGATTGATTCTGACACACGGGATTTTGGGACGTTAGATATAAGTATAATCACGGACAACATGAATTTTCGTCTTAATTCTTACAGCTTATTGAAAAAGATAAAAATATTTTGTGTTTGAATATTCAACAGACTCTCACGTCAAAAGACGCTTGACGAAGTGATTAAAAATTCTTCAGTTTTTAAAGAGAATAGTTCAATGAACAATATTACATCATACCACCACTATAGAGATGAAAAGAAAAATAATTTAATTTATTATTATTATCAAGTAATTATTTATTCAATACAAGCTATTATAAAATAGATAATGATTAAAGTATTTTTATATATTTAATTTATTATTATAATTTACCCGTTTTATTTCATTATTTTTAAAAAATAATAAAGTCCAATCGTTTTGAAAAAATAATAAAAAAAAACAAACAAATTAATTTATGAAGATTACCATAATAATTCAAAAATAATGAACATTATAAGACTGAGTATATCCGAGTTGGAGATGCTTCATTGATTTTATTGTTTTGTTTCATTCTCAAGTCACCTAAGAAGTGGTGAATATTCATAAGGGAAATGGATTGTTGTTTAACAAATTTCAACGATTCCGCAAATATGACAAGAGAATTTTCTAAAATCCAAAAATCGACTTGTACGAATAGCTTGAGTATGTACGGCATGGCATGACTTAATTTTCTGGATTATTTACTTGAAGCTTTGGTAGATTTTTCAATAGAACAAATTTGTTCATATAAATTTTTGCCTTCTCATTTCGATTATGGACATCTCTATGATATTGAGTCAAAAATATCTTTCAGCGGATACTCACAGTGGGACGAAGGAATTTTTTCTCTCCGTTAGATAAAGCAAAATTGTTTGTCTCAAACATTTTATAATTATAATAATGATTGTCATACAACAGATGATGAATATATATACCTTCCGTTCAAACCGATTAGAAATAAAAATCAGCAATGAGAATGTATATCGTTTCAAAATACTGCCTTCTTTACCATATCTATCAAATGAATAATGCAGAATGTATTTACGTCAATAATTCCTCTCGCAAAGAAAATGAATATATATATATATTCGTTGACTAATTAATCGAATTTGGTTAATATATATCATAATAATAAAATTATGTATATATTAAAAAAACGTGGATTAATTCTTTTTCTATTACGGTGCAGATCATTTTCGGATAGTATATACTGTAGCATAATGGACACTCATTTTGTGCAACAGTCATTTGTATTAGAGGTTGGCACCGCGCAAAAATTCTTTAACCGGTTAATTAACTGTTAAAATTAAGAGTTAACCAGTTAACTTTATCAGTCACAGGACATGTCACGCAGATCAATAGGGAGTTGTAAAACATAGTAAATTTTTGGTGATCTGCATCATAG